CTAAGTCAATAAACTGGGTGACGCAACTCACTAGCGCGTTGGATCGACGGAGAGCACCGATACTCGGCACGCTTTACCGTACTCTCTCGCTCGCACACCTCCCCCCATAGACCCCTGAAATTCCTCCAACACCGACGGAGAGCACCGATACCGCGGCTCGCTCTACTGCTCTCGCTCGCACGCCGTGACGTCACCCGATTCCCGGAATCCGCAGCCACGAGATGGCTCATTATGGTAAGGCATTCCCGCAAGGGAAATTGTATGCCGCCGGCCAAAAGGTAGATTTGATAAACTATTTATGAAACTACATCTATTCTGAATTTATCTGTTACAAATATACAAATGTAAGGCAAGATATAAAAACGAATAAAACAAGAACATGTAGAAAGTAACATTAATAAAATTTCCATTGATATACATGATAAATAAATATGTACTTACATCTCACATACACGGCGTCTCTTACGTGCTCCGGGGCCTCTATGACCCCACTTTCTCACACACACGAGGTCTCTTACGGATAACAAGTGATAACGACGTAAAAATGAGTAATAACCAGTGATACAAAAGTAACAACTAGTAATAGTCTATGCTTCGAAAGTGAAATGGATGTGGGTCAATAATCATTTTGAGGCGAAAGATCTTTTACCATTCGTTTTTATTAACTTGCAAAATTACCTTACTCGTCTACTCATGCACGGATAAAATATATAAATAAAAATGTAGGTAAATGGTGAACGTGAGTTTATTAAGCGAGACTGCCAAAGCACGCGACGTGCTGATTTAAACCACGATATTCGATCATCTTGGACTGTTAATTAATGTCCTGTGCAAAATATTCGTTTCTTTCTCCCATGGAAATAGTAGATGCGAAATCGTGGCGACGACACTCGATTCGGTAGTCACGTAACAGATCGCTAGAACAGTGATAAACCTATCATAGAATAATGAATAAATATAACAATCGAAAAACATGGCCAAATGCAATGACGAATAACCAGACGTTCTGTTTGCTCGTCGTGTCAACTCCATGCGTCTCTTAATCTCACAATGTGACAGACGAATTCGAAGGTGTACGATGTGTCGCGAAGAAAACTCTACAGAGATATGCACATATACATATATACATGTAAGTATGTATATAGTAAAAAAAGATCATAACGAACTATATATATAAAAGATACAACTGTAAAATGTTAATAGTTTTACATCTTTGGACAGTCAACAAAAGCGATCACTCGCGACGGGTGCCGGGAAACCGCGATAGAATAATTAAATTCACGAATTCGATTACTTTCACATCTAACCGATGAAACCAACGAAAATCCTCGACTTGTTACTGACAAATTCGTTCACGTAATGCATTACTTGGTAAACATCGGTCCTCTCGACGAACGATCCGACAACAATTTATAAAACAACAGCTGGGCCGATGCAATAACCAAACAAGTAAATACGTAAACAGCAATAAGAACAACACTAGTCTCGGTGTTTGTCAAGCATCGATCCGGAGCACCATTTTCGACTAAATATTTGATTCTGGAATACGTTCAACGAACGATATTAAAACATTCCAATTGTTTTTAAAGTATCTCGAAGCATACTTGCGATTTCCACTCTAAATGTTTATACGGATTCAAATAAATGCATCAAGACCGCGGCTATTCCCAATTAATTATTTAATCTTATTGTATCTTGTTCTTAGTATAATATTGATGATTCTCGTATTCCAGAAGTAAATATCCTTATGCAACAAGGAATTTTTGCTAGTGATTCATTGTCGTCAAGTAACAAACATGAAACGGATCTTACCTAACCACCCCCCCCCCCGTCCAAAGTCTCGTGGTCGTTTGTTACGTGAATTATAGCACACATTTCGACTAGAGTAATATCATATACGCAGTTTAAAATAAAATCTTGAAGACAAAAGTAATATATACAAAGATTTCAGCAGTCTTGGCGGCTCAGACAGATCAACCGATACAATATTGTACCCTCAGTACTCGTGCGAGTACGTTCACGAATTGGAAATAATAATTATCATTCGATCGTTCGAGTGAATTATTATTTAATATATAATAACAAGACATAGAATTCACGCATAAATAAAATCTCACGAGCAATTAATTTAACAATAACAATCAAGGGATTTCACGAGATGTTTTGTTCTTTAAAAAAAAAAAACAGGGTACATCACCCGTGATTAAAGTCATCGTTAAGTCGAACCGCGTTTAAGACTCCTTTGCCGTGGCAGTACGTGTTCTCGGCAAAATCATGCCATTTTTTTCAAATCGTTGCATACAACAAACACGTATGATATTTATCCAACAGAAAAATATACAATCAGTATCCGCTTGGTAATAAGATACCCTCGTAACTTCTCTCAACAACGTTCAAAACTTCAATAAAATCGGTCTCGTCTCGTCAAAATAATTATGAAAAAGAAGTATAAACAACTGTTCAGAATGCATTGTTTCTAGAACTCTATAAAACAACTTCAACGCGGCTTATAAAAGAAATCAACAACCGCAGCGATTCAATATTCAATACATTCAAATATCCTGCTCTTTAGGGATGGGGAATCTCAAGAGAAATTGCCCCCGATTTCGCGATGTCAATCGAAATAAAAAGATGCTCGGAAATTCTCTGTCTTTTCCTCTTTTCTTTTACACCTTTTCGCGTTTTAAACAACGGAACACGTTGCATCTTTGGCTTGTTTATCGTATCATTGCCCGTTTCCAGGCTCATAGAAATGAAACGGCAAAAGTTCGCGAACTACATTGTAGTTTGCAACTTCAGGAAAGGAGGACACCCACGTACGAGAGTATTCTCTACAATGTCTCTATAATCAGGATAATATCAATTGGCTATTCAAAGTTGCTTCATCCACTTCCTCGTTAAGTAGAATCTACATAGTTTTTAACGTTTAACTAAAAATAGGGGTTAACTAAAAATGGAAGGCATACCATGAAATAAATTTGTCTTATGAAAAAAGTAATCCCTAGGGATGGGCAACTTTCATGGGCGTTCTTGAACAACCAATTCAATTTATATCGACTATAGACGAATACTTTACTCCGTACGATCCTTCAGCTTCGTGCGTGCAATACGGTCACGATGTAATACTATGGTTTACAAGACGATTACAGAGGGCAAGAGACTCCCTGACGATATCCTTCGATCAGCGCAATTTCCAGTTGTTGCAGCCTCGAACCTGTGAATTGTCTCTTTAACAAGAGACTGTGTACATACTGTATTCTTAGAGACTGTCCATCTTTTCTCTAAAAAATAACTTCCTTTGGGCTAGAAAAAGGTACGCGTGAATACACAAAAGACAGCGATGGAACCCCCCTCCGTCCCTCCAAACGAAGGAGGATCCACGTGGTTTAAGTGTCCTTCGAAAACGGCTGCAGCAATTGAAAGGCCCGCGTTTCAAAGTGACTCTGACGTTAAGTAAAAATAAGGGTCCGTGATTTGCAGTCTATTTACAACGTGAAGTACACAGTATTATATAGATCGTGTATAGATTGAACAACCACACTTATCACATAGTCGTGGCCCTTGTTCTTTCGTCCGTTTTGACTACGGATCGATTCCGTAACGTTGAACTCTCTCCCTTGATTTAGCGCGAGGATCACTGAACGCTCGTGAAGGTGCCACCTATCTTTAGAAACATTCAGTCTCTGGAAACATCCCCAATTGTCTTTCTCGCAAACATCCCTAAAAGCTGTTCGAACGTCTGCAACACCTTTGTACTTCATCATGGTGATTCTAATGATCACCGAATGGATGCGTATCCGGCTCATTGGTGGAACGAAACACAGCCCACAAATCCAGAGATCATTTCACTGTCACTGACATCCTTTGAGGACAAGTCTACATTGTCATACGGGGATCAGCTACGCCTTTAAGTCTGCATCCGTGTTTCCAATAGGTGAGAAATATTCTTCTTCCTCTTACAGAATCGCCTTATTCGTGTTATCCTTGCGTTTATCCTTTGGTGACTTTTATCCACTTATACACCCGAAGTAGAAACTTTTTCTCTATGACCTCTTCGAGTCGCTCCTTCCCATTGGATCTTTCTTCCTTCCAGCAAAAAAAAAGGAACTTTTCCTTTTTCGTTTCTGGGGCCAGTGACATTCAGCTTTCCTTTCAAGTTACCTTGAGTTTCCAAACGAAACAGACCATCAATTGTCGCTCTCAGCGTAATCGTCGCTGTCCCCGCTGTCGTAGTACTGGCTCCTGGACTGATGAATGGAGTCTGGCGGATTCTCTGTTGATTGGTCGTCGAGGTATCCTTGAGGCTCAGTGTTCTGGAGCAGATCCACCGATTCGCTGTCCATAATGTCCAGATTTTGAGAAAACACGTCCTCTGATATGGAATCGTACGACCTGGTGAACAACAAGTATCTTAGATCCCGTAAATTCCTCGGTAGACTCTGTTAAATCTTCTATAGACCAAGTCAAGTTGTTGGACTATAGACGGCTCGACGATAGCACTCTACAATGCAAAATACTTGGCGCAACCGAGTCTTTGACAATTTACGGTTCGGTTCAGGAATGATGAATGTTTTCTCGTAAATCGTCGAAGACTCGATTAGTCTCGGGTAAACCAAAAGCTAACGATATCTAGTTTGCGGCAACGAAAAGGATAAGAATGAAGGCGAAGGAAGATGGTGGATCTATATTTCCTTCAAGAGTGAAAATTCAATTTAGAAATTTCACTCTTGCCTATTACAAAAGTACTATTAGACCATTAGTGTCTTAATCACGTCCAATTCAATACTTTCTTTTATTAACGCAAAACAAGAAGTTCAATTAAAACTCCGTATTGTTCAGTAATATTCACTCTTAGATAATGTATCGTTAAATCTTCAGGTTACATTAATAATTCATCGACCGTCCAGTAAATACGTTCGAGAATAAAGAGAATAAATTAAATAAACAAAAAGAAGAAGCAGTTAGCTAACTCTCTATTAATGCATTATGCATTCCGGGCCTCGTGCATCCATACCATGCAGTTCTGTTTTTCTTTACTTACTGAGCTGCAGATGATGGTTACATTTCATCATCACACAGCCTGCAACAAACGCATAGATTGCACCATTGTCATTACGGTCGCAGTACAAAGGGTAAACATTTTGTTAGATCCCACAAACGGGGACAAAATACCGACTATCTAAACGGCAAAGCATGCCAGAATTCGGAAGCTATGAGTTCCGTTTCGTAGCTTGGAGTAAGCCAGAACTTTCTATGATAATCGGTTCATCTATCACTGATAACAAGACTCTTCGTAATTTTATAAAGATTGTTATTAACAGACTCTAGTATGCCTCTATTCGAATTTCAAACTGATCCATTCGAGCCTGTACATTTGAAATTGGAGTGAAATGATAACATGAAAACACATGACTGAAGGATAAAGTAGGACGACACTGATATTTCTCGTGATTTAAAGGAAAAGTATAGATGAACCGTAATCATTCTGAACAACGTAACACGAACACTTACATCTGTTCGTTCTGTTCGTTACCGCTCTCCTCGGCCACCAACATCTCGTATTCCTCGGCCGCGAATCGATCCCAGTCCGACAGCTATGCAAGACGAAAGATAATCAATTATAACACGCACATCAAGACAAATTTTATTGTACTTAATAAAAACGTGTGGAAGCTCTCACCTCATGGCCATCGGGATCGTGTTCCCTCGCGGACGCGAACGGATCTCTCTGCTCGTGGTCCAGGTACTTTTCGAGGTTGAAGAACGTGTCGAAGAAGATCGAGGTCATCTTGCATTTCTTCAAATCGCTCAGGGATATCTTCCCCGGTGTCGCTGGTTTAATCATGTCCAACATCTGCGCAAGACCCATGTAAGAAAATCATCCACGAAGGCAAATATAGATTTTTTTAATAATCACCTGACAAAGACAGTCCTCGAACGGCAACGTCTCTAACCCGATCGCCTCCATGCGGTGCAATTGTTCTTCGTAAAAGTACTCCAGTTCGTACATCGACAAGTACCCGTCCCCATCGAGATCCATGCATCTATCAAGATCATCACAGATGAAAGTTTCACGAAGAATATACTCTATTACATTATCAGAACGAATAGGAATACGCTACCTGAACCAATATTCGATCGCGGTTGGATGATTCTTGTCCTCCTCGCTGAGCAAGAACCACACAAATTCTGTGTAACTCATCGCGGTCGGATGATTCTTGTCCTCCTCGTTTAGCAAAAACGACACCAGTTCCGTGTAGCCTGTTTTCTCTTGCGGCTGTTGCACCACCCCGCCATTTCCACTATTTACGCCCCCTCTGGTCACAGCCCCGCTGAATATTCTAGCGATCATACGCTTCGACAGAGCTGGAACAAAATAAACGATTCTGTGTAAGATTAACTATGAATTTCTGGCTGATTATAGGCATACACTCTTGCGCCCAGTAATTCCTGCTTACCGTGGTCATTGTACTTGGTGAGGTCTTTCTTGTCGATGAACAGATCGTGGTCCCGATCGAGCTCCCAGAATTTGCAATATATCACGTAGAAATGCTCGTAACTGAAGTACGCGGTTACTTGATTGATGTCCTCCTCGTGCTCGAGAACTGCGATCACCGACAGCAAGTTGCTTCTTCTCAGCTCCGCCACGGATATCCGGCCGCTCCAGCTTCGGTTCACGCAATAGAATATCCTGGCGATCACCTGAGGGTATCCACATGAAACAGAAAGAAAAAAATTAAGCCAACTAGGATCATCCCTCGAAATATTAAAGTTGAATCTTGAATTCAAAACGGACGCGTGTAAATAAATCAGATCGTTGAAATAAAGAGTTTAGGGATGGAATCACGGAAACCGATGAAAATATTGTCGCCTATCCAGGTGATCGTCGACTTCGAAATACGAAACGGTGGAGCGTCTTTTCCTGGCTGGAAATAATATCCAAGCGATCGGGTCCGCGCGATAATTGCCCGAGGCGATCGTCTTGAATAATTCAAAGACGACTCCACGGTTGCATAAATCACACACACGCGGGGCTCCCCGTGGTGAACGGAATTTTTCTCTTCTGTTTCGCCTCGCGCTCGGCTGCGCAGCCTCTTCCTTCTGTCCACGGGGCCTCCGTGTATGCATCGCGAACAAGAAAGAGAGAGATCCCCAGACCCGACAAATATTTATCGCGCGAATACGGACCGTGTGTACATAGCGTGAATGGAACTCAGTAGCCTCTTTCAGGAAAGTTAAACCGGGATGAGTCTCGACCACATCTTGCACCAACGGGATCAAATCCTCGGGGAGTATATTGTTCCTCTGGCCCCGGGTCGTGATTCTGATGAACTTGCTCGCCGCGTCGTGGTGGCTGTTTGACATTCTGCAAACGATCCGACGATTCACATTAGCCCGTTTAATCCATCGTGATTTTCCGCGTTATTGATTCGAGTAAAAGTGATCGCTAGGAAAACGGGAGGTTTGAACGGACAGCTGTGGAAAACTTTGGATTCTCCAATTGGACATTTTTGCCAATTTTGCTATGACCATCACGGTCATAGTGTCCTCCCATTTTTCTTAGTGAGAATAGAAGCTTATGAAGTCTTAAGGAAGAAGCGAAGATTATTGTTATTGTACTCTGAGGCTGCTACCTCCACCCCAACCCACAGAAAAGCCATCCCTCTTTATTGCTTCATTACCATTCTACGGTATGAATAAAATCTCAGTGGGTCACAAACGATACCTCGAAGAATTTCATTCTCGCTAGATATTATCTTAATCGAAACTGCCTTACTTACTCTTTCCAGAAATCAAGGAAGGCGTTCATCTCGATGTAGCCAGTTTGGTCGCCGCCGGCCGCCAAGAAGAGCGGCACTTTCCAATAAAGCGGTAGATCGCATGCCTGCAACCGAAAATCGTTCCCCGTTCATCTCTATCCGAACGAAACAATATAAAGTCCCCGTGTAATCCGAGTGGAAGTCATCGAACAACGGGGACAATCGACGGGATCGTTCAGAGTTTTAACGAGCTCCTGGTTGGCCTCTTACCTTTGTGATCGTGTGAAATTGGGCACGAGAAGCACTATGGCCGGGCAGAGCTTGAAAAGCCGCGGTGATTTTGGAGATGGTCGCTTCTATTTGCGACAGCGGTAACGGTTTGCCTCCGGGGAAATAAAATCTGCAACCGTGAAAGAAGATCGATGGATTAGTTCGACGGTACTACTTTAACACTTTGCCTGCCACGTTATCCAAATATGGGTGACACGTACAATCCCCCATATTAATGTGGCACTCGAAAATTTTATTTTACAAATTAAAAATTTTATTATAAAAAATATGTTTTTCACGATTCAAACAACTTCGATTAATGTTAACCAACGATCAACTCGATCAGCAGTGTAGCTAACTTAATCGTTGATTAAAGTGGATCGAAGTTGGTCAAAGTGGCCCGTAGAAAACGAAATAAGGCGTGTCTGACTACGTACGGCACTTTTCACTGTGGCGGTTACCGTGTTAAAATGGCTGTTGAAAGGCGCAAAATTTAATTTGATTTCATTTTGACTGTACAGGATTCATGTTGTCAAAACCGCCGAGTGTCTTTCGAAGGGATTTTGATCGTAAGTCAAAAAGCTCACCTTGGTATGTGGACGTTTCTGTTCGCTTTCACGTGCCTTTGGAGCGTTGTATGGGGCGGCAGATTCTTCTGCTGGGTTTTGTCTTTTGCGTACGTCTAGAACCAAGCGGATTAGATTCAAGTGATCATCCTCGTCGAAGACGCGATCATACGAGAAAAAAATTCAATGAAGCTTGAGAATCACGACTAACGATTCAGGACACTGAATCCAATTAGATTAATATCTCGATCATAAGGTGAATAAAAATTGTCCAACTCAACAAATAATACGAACATTATTGTGTTCTTCAACGACTCGTGTTCCACGCGTTAATGCATATTAACCCCTTAAGCGTTTGCTAAAATTTCGGAAAACAGTAAAAAAATACCGTTTTCTTCTAATTCATTATATAAATGTTTACAAACTTCCATCAAAAGTCACAAGTTTTCGAAAAATAACTTGTATTTTTGTACATACAATAAAAAATTATACATGTAAAATCTAACTACAGTAAAGACTCGATGAGAGTGGGATAAGAAGTTTCTCGTGAGAGTTTCAACTTCATCATCGCCACTGGTTGTGCCGCAATAACGTTTCTTTATTTTCGTTCCGAGTGTTATACAACATCGAGTAGCCTACAGCGGATGTGTAGTGGGATCATGAAAGATCTCGAGGACATAATGCTGCGACGTTTCCGGTCGCAGAATCGACAGCAGTTCTTCCGCGTCAGGGGAAGGGGACCGATCGATAGTTGGTCCTGTTATCGGCGAATAATAATAATTGTAGGTCCCCGTTCGAGACCGTCATTGGTTCCGCGTGTCGGCGAACCAAGGACACGGCATCCTGTTACGCGGCGACGCGAGTCGCGAAGGATCCGAAGAATGCAAAGAGGCCGGCCAACGCGGCACGGCTGGCTAATGCATCGCCGCCGCACCTCGGCCCATGTGACTCCGGTTACATCACCGGCCTACTCCCGTGCCCCGCGAGAGGTACACTTATATGTACCTATACCACGAGAAAATCTATCCGCGTGTTAATTGTCCCAGCCATTCTACACCAATACTCGTGAAAACGATCTTCGGTCGATCGACGCGTTCGCCCCGATGCACAGTGGTTCCGAATCAAAATTTAACAGCTGAAATGGTCAAAAAGAAATTTATTTTATCTTGCTAAGAATCTGTCTGTCTTAATACTTATAAGCGATCGTGTAGGTATATGGATTAATTGATTTTCTAAGGGATCCAGAGAAATGTATGAATCGGCGAGAGACAGATACTAAGTCTAGGAATCTGAGAGAATTCTCCATCTTTTAAGACAAAAGAAGCCCGAAGTTTCAATCCTAGGCTTGTTCCTTTAAAAGACTGACAATTTCTGGAGAAAGCCACGGAGAAGTACGGACGATTCCAATCTCTCTAACAGAGAAACGAGGACGGGGATGAAGAATGGCTAAGTAACAGGAATAGGTGGCGGGTGGATGAGTATGTAGGGGCGACGTAAGGAGGAGTAAACGGTCGCAATAATAAAAATAGCGTCTTGCCTGCTACTTCGAGAGCTTCCATTTCAGAATGAGGATCAATAATGCATTCCATGCTGTCGGGTAAAAATAAGGCAATGCCCGAACGGTGCCAGTGACCGATAAACTCGGTGGCAGGCTCGGGATCAAATGGATCAACTGAACGATGTCGCTGACAGTCGAATGATTGCTGATCAATTTCGGACCATCGAGTACCATCCAGAGTTTCTGGACATCTACGGGCCAAGATCATTGTTTTCTCCTGGATATAACTTGTTCAGGAAATTAATCTTTATAGCAATTCGCCAGCGTTATGCGATCATGAGCACCGTTCCCCAAGTCGTAATTTCTTCTATAGAATATCACATTCCGTGTGCTGTTGATTTTCTATAGTTTCCTATGATCACGTGCAGTGTGAGTCGATATGTTAAAATTAAATTCAGCTAGAAGTGCGTTGACGGGTCAGTGGGATCGTGAAAGAAACTATAAAGCAAAGGTGGTTAAAAATTGTTTGCTGGAGAACACTATGACAAAATGTTAGATTCTAAATTGAACGAAATAAATATGAATGAATCCTATACTTTCGAAGTGTATAATCACTTTTGACTCTCACTTTAGGTAAACGCGGAAGAACTCGAGAGGATGCAAGCAGACTTGCCGATCGAGATTAAAACGCGGGATCGTTGCAAAATCCCGGAACGGATCTGATCTCCGTCATATGACATTGGAACAGATTGCAGGCGACCGGGTATAAGCAATTATTGTGGCCTCTGTTTGGCACGGTCCGCTGCGTGACACACGGGATACCGTCAATCAGCGTTCCAATTGACATTGCGAATTCGACTGCGCCTCTCGATCGTAACCTAACCCAGACTGCAAGGACCACTCGTCGCGTCCCGCTAGCGAAATATACACTTGACCTTCGACGATCGAGCCCCGTTTCAGTGTTTTCGTTTCATTTAATACGAATTTGATCGGCTCGGCGAATTCTGTAAACACTGTCGATTAATTTTGGCCGCTTGAGCCTGATGTGCCACGCGAGGATATTTTTCGTGAAATCCTCGAGTCATTTCGATGAGGATTTTCATCGATTTTTGGAGGCTGTCGAGAGAACTGGTCGTGAAAAGGACGAGGAAGGACAAGGAGGAAGATTATTAAAGAAATCATCGAGAATAATTGATCTTCTGATTCGTGTGGGCACAGAAACGAAAAGTAAACAAGATACCCGTTGGTGGAAGATCTATTTTTCCAGCCTCGTTAATCGCTAAATCTGTGTCTATGGGATCGACGAGATTTCCTCCGAATGTCTTCCAGCTGCGAACATTCCCACGATCATCTAGAATCGACCTAAATTGTGTAAACAGCTTACTAGTAGATTCCATAGTCTGTCGATTCCGCGTTGGAAGGTGTACATATCCTTCCTGGTCCCAGCGATCGAGCAAACCGAGGCGCATTCGTTTTCAAACCGGCAAACCTCTCCCTCCAACCGATCCGTTTTTCAACCATAAGCGGCGGCACGGCGCGGCGTTCCAAGGCGACAGTCGGCGGCCTTTTAAAATCTAGCACGATATCCAATATGGAACGGCCACAATGAGTCAGTCCTCCAGTGCAGATAATTATGCCGCGAATGAACGATTTCTCGCCGTTAACCCCAAGGGCGCTTGCTGAAGACCTTTTTCCTATTCTCTTGCAGAAGATCCACAGGATTTCACGCGCGACTCTTCAGATTCTTACGGTCCGTTATAGTCGTCGACTAGGTAGTTTCATCAAACGGGAATTTTAATTAACCGATAGGCACATACTTGGAACGTAGATCGCCTTAAGGTGTCGGGTGTCATTAAATTAGTCGCTCTGTAATTCCAACGAGCCGACTTTAATTAAAAACTGCATCGGATCTTTCGACCGATCTGTCCATAAACCGTTCATTCGCAGGAATAAGGATTTCAAGATATACTGTACTTGCGAAGGCACCTATTTTTTTGAGTTAGCCCTTTCATTCCCAAATTATATAAAAATTACCAAAGAAATATTCTGTTGTATTTCTGTGTATATTACACGACATATAAATGATTCAAAAGGACATTTCAACTTTTACTGACGAGTCCAACTAGCAGGTCCAGGAGAAAACGGTCCCTTTTTCCTCTCTTTTCATGCATCTTTCATCACAGGCACCCACACGGTGAAAATTGATTTTCAAGCTGATTTGGATGTAACAAGGAGCACAAGTGAAGTGTGTGTATAGCGTTACGGTTGTCGGAATCGCGGGTATACACCGCGTTTAAATCTGACTTGTAACGATAAAGCGAACCCTGCGTGTTCCGCTTATGGTCACAGTGGTGGTCCCTTCATTCCTCCGTCCCGAGGTCGAATAACATTTAATCGTAAACGAAAACCGTGCATGAGTCAGCGACCAAACAAACGCAGCATGAAGAGACACGGTTTTCTGTTCTCCTCGGTTCGACCCCTTGATTAACTTAATTGAGACCGAACTCTTCTTTCGGCCATGATACTGCGTCTTTTCTCCATGTGGGAACCACCTCTGTTACGGTCTTCTTGGTATCGCTATAATCAACGGAAAATCACCAAGAGTTGGCGACAAAGAAACAGCGAAAATAACAGGGCGTTTCAAGTTCGTTCGAGCAGAGAGAAAAAGAAAAGCAGGGGGACGAGAAATTCCTCGAAAGAAATTACTGAAACGATCAATGTCCAAGAGGAGAAGAGACGAAAGAAATTGTTTAAACGATCATTGTCCGAAAACAGAAGATACAAAAGAAATTGCTGAACAAACGCGATCGACAATGTTCGAGGCGTGTAACAGTCATCGGACGTTTTCCCACAAGACCTGTGAATTCTTCATTGGCACGATATGGTCGCGGGAACCCTCGTGCGTCTCGAGCATGCTCGGTCTTATTCACGTTTCATCGGCGAATGCAACGCAAGACGGAGAGACAGAGGGAGAGAAAGGGAGAGAGAGTTAGCTGGTTCTAGAGCTCCGGAACGGAATCGATGCAGCCTCTCTGCACCCGCCTGCATCCATAAATATCCGCGTGTTTCTCGGTTCCCGGTGGCCACGACGCATCCTGCTATCCGTGGAATTCTGTTGTTTCGATTGTTCCATATCGTTTCGTCGCGTGATCCTCTCTTCCGTATCTCTTAAAGACATTTCTTTACGGCATAGAGAACACTTTTTCCCCCAGAAAAATTACTTTGAGTCGGTACTAAAAGTAATTTTTCCTAAAATTACTTTTAGTATCTAAAACACTACACATACCCTTGAGACCATGGGCAGAAGATGACATTGTCGATGTATGTTCGATCTGTAAGTGAATATCCCTGATAAGGGACAATATTCTTCTTGATAAATTCTATTCCGATGTCTCGATAAAACGAAGGCTCGTTCAGGGTACAATAGAACTGCAATAACCGTATAAACAACAATGTCACAGCTAAGCCCTCACGGTAGACATTGTGCGAACAACGTGCTAGAACCGTGGCTTATCATTGCTTATGCTCGACCCAGCCTGACCCGATCTTGAGATCCCTGAAGAGTATCCACTGATCGAGATTACACGTTCTCCACGCGATATACGCTCTTCGGAACGCGTTGCAACCCACCACATAGTACGATCCAAGGGAGACAATGGATGAAAACGAAGAACAGAGTTTAATACGCACGCGACATTAGTACCGCTGGGAGAACTCATTAGTTGCCGACAAATCACATTCGCTGATGACGAAGAGTGAGAACGGGACACACTCGGATCAAGTGAGATAGAGCGATAATAGAGTAATCACGTGGTAATGACGTATAGTCGTCGCCAAATAAGACCACAACTGTTTTGCGCATCCCGAATGACCAGGAGAGGTCTCTCGAATCCTGATTCCCCCACTTTGTTGCTTTCTATAACGTGGGCGATAGAATTTCTTATACACCGGCTGACTTGATGAAGTATTTCTCAAGACATTTTCGTAGTAAGATATCAAAAATTATTAAAATCATTATATAAGAATTAAACTCAATTACCCCTTGAACTAATAATTATAAATATAACAGGAAACATACAATAAATCGTCACCATCGAAACATACAAAAATACTTATGAATTGGCACGTTTGTACTTCACAGTCACTCGATGTATGATGCTACACGAGACACAGTTGTTTATGGATGTTGATAATTAAGGTGACCGAGGAGATAAAACCGCAAACAAGTAAGAAATTTGTTATTTCGCGGTTATGGTCTTCCTTGGCGACGACTATAGTAATGACGTAATGTCTTCTAGTGTTAACCATTGGGCTCGGCGAGACACCACCCCTCTTGCCCTTCTACCGTTCAGTTTGTCTCTGCAACTTATCAGCCCCCAACTGTACACAAGCAATGGGTACCAAAATGGCGACAAGGATCGATAGGCGTCGAAAGTGATCTCGGGTCACGAAGTCCCCGGTGGATGCACTCAGGAAGCCCACATCTGTGCCCCATCCCCCTTCCCCCCAGAGGCGAACGTGCCGCGCGATAAACGTCTTTTGGCAGCCACGCGTTCACCGGTATACTCGTCTTCTTTTCTGGCCGTGATCCAGAGCCACTTCCGAAACTGGCCCCGAAAAATTTCTTTCTTAAACGGTCGATCCTACAACCCCCTTCCCTTCCTCCTCGTTTCCTGCTGTTCGACCGCTCGTGGCAAAACATCGTGTTCAGGATCGAAAACATCCTGTGAGTCAGTAGCGCCCGATCGCCACGGGATGAATGGAATACGAAAAGAATAAATCGGGGAATGCTCGAGGATCACACGGGAAGGAACTAGAGGGGGGGGAGAGGCTGAAACCGACCTCTACGAGGAGAGATCTTGAACTCGTTTCCGAGACAAAAGTACCAGGAGTCGACCGGTCGCAGGCATCCTCCTCCTCCTCCTTCTCCTCGGGGAAGAGGAATTTGGACGACGACCAAGAGGGCCAGATATAAGCCACCCAGAGAGGCGGAGAGAACACGCGGGGGCCGACACACACACGTCTTCACCGATCGGCGACCGCCCGTTTCTCGAACCGCGATTTAGTCCGGTGGAATTAGACGGCTCTTCCAGGAAAACCGTGGGCAACGTCCACCGTGATTTTGCTGTTTGCCGCGAATTTTCGCGTTAAACTGTAAACTGATCCTCTAATGGGACCCGACGTCGATCTTCTCGTGGTATACTTGATCAAAATCATTCTGCGACCTCGGAAAGTAAGTGTTAACGATTCCTTGAAAACTTTTAAGGCCCCTGTCCTCTTTAGCGGCCCGAAAAAATGGTAATATTTGGCCACAAGAATTTTTAAAATCGGTTAATAACTTTTTACATTACGATGGGCACCGTTTGTATACAGTGCGATATCGAATCAACACGATTAGCGCCATCTACAATGCAATAATATGGAATCGAAAATGTTTTTTATTTATCTGAATCTATAATAATAACCAGGAAGCTATTTAACCGTATCTTCTTGACTTTTTTCGAAAAACATTTCTCAGGTGTCATAATTTTTGTCCAGTCGCTAAAGGGGAAAGTGACTTTAGTTTAGGAACTACGATGAACGTAGTATTGCTACGGGTCGAGACGTTCTTGTGTTTTTTTTTCGAAAATTATTGAACCTTCACCTAGTGCATTCAGCGTTTAGTTTAGTAAAATTGTGACGAAGCGTTATATTACATACATTTGGTCGTTACCTTAGTTTCCGAGGCAACTGTAGTTTGAATGAGAAGTAACTTAGGCTTCAAAGAGCCAGAAACAGTGATCATTGTCCGTAGACCCCCTGGTGTACAATACCTGGCAGTCGTTCTAGTCGGAGGGTAATTCGGGCCCTTCTCCAGTTGGAATGTAATTAGGAACGCTGACTGGGTGTTTAATTGCTACTCAAACGAGCCTCGCTGTCAGACATTGTACACCAATCGATAGCACGATTATGTCGAATTGAAACTGTAATCCGAACCTGCAGACATGTGCTGCACGTCCAGTTACACTTAGAAACTAACCACTTATACCATCTGAATGTTTCATCAAAGGCAGCTATTTTCATCGCCAAAGGATGATTCTCGAGGAAACCGTAACGATCATCCACCAATTTACCTGGGCTTTGTTCTGGACCTCGTGTCCAGTCCTCCAAGTGTTAATGGCCGGCTGCCGTGGTCCCCGTTTGTCGAGCAGCAGCTCGCTGGGGCACTTCTCGAAGATCAGCACCCGTTCGGCGACCGATCCCCTGGTCAGGAACGGTCTGATAGGATTGTTCCCGGTTCCGGTCGCGGCTGCGGCTCTGATATGTTGTTTCTGTTGCGTGGTCAACTCCGGATGAGGCACTTGCTCGATCCTCGGTCTAGGAGTGTTGATCCTTGGCCCCCATCTGGACATCACAGCTGGTTCCTTGTCATCTTTGCTAGTCGCCTCTTTGTCCTTCCTGATCTCTGTCTCGAACTTAGACCTGGTGGTCGATACCAATTGCTCGGTGGGATTGAACGACGGCTGGTTATTGGTCTTCTGCTCCTCGAGCCTCTGCTGAGTGGGGGGATTTTGTTGGGCCGCCCTATACCTAACCTTCGCGTAATCCACCACGGACATGCTTGACAGATCGTCCTTGCTCAGGGATTTCGCGTCTGGGACTACGGTGCTATTGGTGTTCGTGTTCGTTCCAGGTGGCGACGTGACCACTACGTTGTTCACCATAGTCGCGGAAGCAGGAACCACCAGAGGAGCACCGGAGCTTCCATGATGATTGTGACCGATGATAATCGGTTTGACTGGCTCCACCTTCGGTTTCTCCCGTTTGATCGCTGGCTTCTGCCTAGCCAACGGCACCAGTGTTCTCTCTGTAGACTCCTCGGTGATCACCGAGCCCGTCTTTAGAGCGTTTATCAGCCTCTCCTCCTCCCTGGCGACCTCGTCCAGGTACACGCTCGAGTTCGCCACGTTGTTCTTCTTCTCCTCCTTCGTAAACGGTTTCACGTCCTGCTGTGGTCTCGACGGCGATTCCACGGTAGCCCTCTTGGTCTCGTTCAGTTTATTCTTCAACGGCCAAGTGGTCAGGCCAGAATTCACGGTGCTCGAGGTGTTCTCTAGGTTCGGGGCAGTCGGTGACGTGATCACCGTACTGGAGGGCCTTTTTTGTTGAACGATCTTGGACGGTGTCAGATCCGCCGGGAACGTGGTCTCGATCGTCTCCAGAAACACCTCTCTGTGATGAGCACCGGGCGGTGTCTTCGTGGAGACCAGAGGCTTCACGATCTGCGCGGGTCTGTTGGCGAACGGAGAGGTCGGGGACAGCAGAACGTTCGTCTGCTTCGGCTTTGGCTGGCTACCAACCGTGCTGTTCTTTAACGGGGATGATGTCTGTTGTTGCGTCGAGTTCCGCTCGAACTTCTGCAACGCGAACTGTATCGACGATGGTAATGTTTTCGACGGCGATCTTTGCCTGGTGGCTGCTAACCGTGCCTTGTCCTCCACCACGAAATTATTTACCAGTTTCTCTAGATTCCCGTTGTCCAAATTCGGTGTCTGAGCCAGGATATCCACCGCGGTGGCCGGAGTCTCTGTCGTTGGTGACATTTTTCCAGTGTTATTCGATGTATTCGATGGTGTCAGAGCAGTACCGAACTTATCCGCGGCGGTAGCATTGCTGTGACAATTCAGTATCTCCGTGGGAGCTAGACCACGGCTCTTCCAAGTCTGATAGATCGCCTCCGCGTGATCGCTGATCTGCTTCGCGATCGCCGCGATGTCCTCATCCCCTGAACTGGACGTCGTCTCCGTCGGAAATTTCCGGCGTAGATCGTGTTTCGCTGTCGCGGCCATTTCAAGCCACCGTTCCTGCTGCTGATTTGTCTCCTCCGCCGATCGCTGTAGCCGCCGTAGCTGCTGACCACGCAGCTCGGGATGATGATCGAGCAAAAAGCTCGTGGCACGATCGGTCAACTCTGTCGTGTGATCGAGCACCAACTGGACCAACTCCGGTTCACCCTCGATCGGGACCACGTTCACCGGGATCGCGTAACCGAAATGGATCGCCTGGCAGTCGACCTGGTCCTCGTCGGAGCGTGTCTCGTTCACCAGACAGGCGTTCAGATCCGGACAGTGGACGGCTCGAGCCGGTCGTGGATCGACGGTCACCGGTACGAAGAGATCTCGTCGGGTCGCACAGACCCGGTGATCGATCGTCTCGATTTCAATCGCCACCAGCTGTCGACCAGCGACCCCAGCCGAGCCCGTCGCCGTTTTGCCTTTCAGTCGCGACGATGCTGCTGGTGATGCTTCCGTAACCAATGAACTCGCCACTGCTGGCATATCTCAGGCCACCAACTGGCCCAGAATGATCCACGTTCTCCACGGCCACGACGGCTGTCGAGCCTTGGTCCACGCGATCTTTGTACCTCCTGCCTGTCTCCCCATTGTTCACCTTTCTCGGTTTCTCTTGAGATTTTGCTTGATCCTCTCTATTCTTTGCTCTTCAGTTACCCTTGGGTATTCTTCGAGACATGGATCGTCGATGGATTTCTTTCTTCAGAGCGGAACACACTTCTATCGACGATTGTCTTGAGGTTACGTGATTTTTTTTTTAACACTATTTTACACTGTTAAAGATACTGTTATAGACCGATTGAACTGATTATGCAACCGATCCCCCACTGTTGTTGTGTCATTGATATATATTATTGTATTCGATTCCCGAGAATCACGCGGCAACGATGATCGAGCTACATCTCTGCGTTCCCTGCTGGTGCCGGGGATCGCGAGTGATCTGAAAGAAGATAAATATAAATTAGTATTTATCCCGGCCGATCTGACCTGCCGTACCGTGTATTTTCGGACGTGATACGTGCTCTGTGGTAGTCGGCGCGCTACGTACGAGAGACTGGCGATCTGGTGTGCGCTTATATGATCTCCGCCCTTTTGTCTCGCGGAGGATACGTAATTAGAGATGATCTACGGTGGTTACACATCCTTGCCACCGCGGATACACGGACGTTTCTTTTACCACAAAAGAAAAAAAAAAAGATGGGAGCGAATCTCTGAAGCGATGCTTTGCAGGCGGTGTTTCGAACTCTCTCAAGATTTACAGGGTCCACGCAGCTACGATAGAGTATTCGAAATTAAGGGATACTCGGATAACTACCCCCTTGACCGGATCTCAAGTCACTACTTTTCTTTCGCAAACTATAATAATGCATTTGATGCAGATATCATTAAGTTATTGAAGATAAGATATAACTATTATTAGATTATTGATGTTTTATATAAAATAATTTTTTCGCATAAGAGAGGTACCATCTAATTTCTCCTTCCCTTCTCAAGGTCATATTTTACGAAATTTTAAGGTCAAACGGAAAGGACAAACAGCAGCGTAACAGAGCAATAGGGTTTCTACAGTGGCGGCGTCCGACTATCGAGGCAGCAGGTGGTCGCTCTAGTTCTTAATTGTTCTATTCTCATTTATTCTAAACTGAGAAAGCTGAGTTTAATGTTTTTGGTAAAAAGGAAGTTAGAAACAGTTAAGAACTCGGGCGACAAAGTGTGTTCCAAGCAGAGATGGGCAAATTCATTATCTCGTTAAAGAGTTTCGAATAACGACTAGAAAATGAAAAACTACTTCGTCATTTTGAATCGTTCAAACGTGGAAATTCCATTTCTTATAATAAAATAATACTTCTCGAATCAGTCGACATTTGGCAAACAATTATTTAATCTAATTAACTGTTTAAAATTCAAGACCACTTAGATACTGCTGCCTTTCACGATCTATTATTCGTATAAAATTCTGCCCAACTCGGGTACTAAGTGGCTGCTTTGTTCAAGGCGAAAAGTCGCGGCGCGAGCACAGACGGTCTCCTCGGTACTTTCACCCCGCATTGCTTCGCGCGCGCGTCTATGCAAACGCGTGCGTACGAAACCCGTGAGCAGACGTGCGTTACTTCGAACACGCAGGAGGCATCGAACCGTGCACACGTTTCACGTTCCTCACGTTTTTCCCTTCCGTTCTCGGTGTCTCCCTGTCTCTCTCTAGAAATTTGTATTCCAAAGACGGAGGTGCCTGGCTGCCTCCCTTTGTCTCCGACCGGCGTAGTAGCTCAGCTCCGTTTGCCAATGCGTGCACCACGAGCACTTGTGTCCCGACGATTCTTCAAATCCCTCGGATTCTGTCGATGTCCAACCGAATGACTGACACACCACAGACTTAAAGGTGGCCAAACTTCTATTCTATTCTGCTGTTCGACAGACGAAAAGAAGAATCACGTGTGTGGTTCATGTCGCTACGGAAACCCAGCAATCTCTCCAGATGGAGTCGACGTTCTGGGCTTCTTCTGTGTTTATGTTGGACCAGACACGCATTCCCGGACGGTGACCACCTTACACCGCCTACATCTAGCCGCCTCTTGTCCATTAACACGCCGACTGTCGCGTCACTCGGATCGTTCGTCGGCGGAACGCTCGGTTGTGAGAGAAAAGATTGGTGGTCCGAGGTGAAATCGTCTGTCGAATGAATTTTTCGACATTGAGGTTGGGAATATTTTGTGGGTATTATTCTGATTGGTTACAACGTTGGACATTGGAAGATTGGTGTCTGGAAGGCTTGAGATGAATAGATTTGTAGACCCGAAAGTGCGAACGTCGATCAATTTACATTCAAGGGACTGTGGGTGAAAAGACAGCAGAAATGGACAAATGCATTATCTAGGTAAAGAGTTTCGAATGAAGAATAAAAGATAGCATGTACTATTTCGCTGTTTTCAGTTGTTTAAGTCTGGAAATTCCAATTTTTATGTTAAGATAACATTACTTCTTGAATGAATAGACACTGAACAAATAATTGTGTAATCTCATTAACTGTTTAAAAGTCAGGATGTCGATCTTAGATACTGCTGCTTTTTCTTATTTGAATAAAATTCTGCCCAACTCTCTGGAAGACAGTACTCTTCAAATGCCATCCTAGTTTCGTTGCTTTCAGGCAAAGTAGAGAAATAAGAACTGCTTGTTTTTCTTTTTTTGCAGACTATTCATTTCCGAGATGGAGATTGGGGACCGTTGTTCCGGTGGTCGTCTACTATTCTTCGTACAGTGGTTGCATTGAACCATTGTTAGATATTCTTGGCCTTCATCTCCTCGATCTTTGGCCCCTGCTTTATATACATGCCGGCGGAACGTTTTTCCTCGACGTTGACAGATGACATTATGTATTACAAATTGCAAGAGAACGCTACAACACCTCGTACGTAACTAGCGACAGAGCGTTTCCGCGCGAAAATCGCATTGTTCTGATACTTTTGAGCTAGTACCACTATTTACAATGTTAGATATTCCCGGCAACGTATGAATCACGTTGGTTATCGATAAGAACAATGTCCAAGTTTCCTATTTGCAGATAACAGATCGAAAATAAACGCAGCAACCATTCTCCGTTTCGACGAGAAAATTCCAATTACACGACAGAGTACTTGAAATAGAGGAACGTTACTACAGAGTCTCTTGCATTCTTCGAATTCACCGTCAGAATGCAAACTTTTATTTATTGCTCTAATGGAGACTTTACTGATTTGGAAGAAATCGGAACATTTCGTTTTATTTTATTCTGTTTACTATGTAACTGATAAGGTCATTCGGATAGAAACAGATCAGTTGAATAGTTCTCAAACTGTGTTAAAATACATTCAAGTTCGAGACGTTTTTTAAAAAACATACTCGATATCTCTACCAGAATTACCCCACGCATGAAATCCCATTCACCGCCTGTCCTTCCAAACCTCACGTCTCCATCCCCAACGGCACTATCTCCATATTCCGCTCCGAATGTTCAGCCAGCCGCGTTACGAAGTAGATACAATTTTCGCCACGAGAGCAGCAATCGTCGCTTTCTCCGTCGGAGAAGCGCACAAGCCGTCACACTCTGCTGACACAGAATTTCGAATGCAGGTCCCCTCGTCGATATTCCAATCGAGGGAGGAAGGAAGCAGAATGATAACAGGGCAAACCGAGCAACGTTTACCCACGAATTCAGACTCGAGCGAGGGGTAAAACGATCCCCTGGAACCGTTCCAGGCAAAGGGTTCGGATAATCGACCAGCGTCGTCGAAACGACGTAATCGTCGACGGTGGCGATAAGGCGGAGCAGCAGTCCACGGTGGGCACACGCTTCGTTCGAATCGTCGAACCATGGATAGGGATGAACCGATCCAAGTAAATACAAGTAAATAATCGATACTTTCAATTGTTTTACAATTACTTCAATTTTTAATCCTTTAAACTTGAAAGTTCCTATTTTTATAATAAAATAATACTTCTTCATGAATTAATGGACATTTGGCAAGCAATTATATAATCTCATTGACTGTTTAAAGCTCAGAATGGTGCCTTTAGATACTGCTGCTTTTCACTATGTATTATTCGAATAAAATTCTACCCAACTCTGGCTGTCGTGTACTATCGTGGTGTGTGCGTGTCTGTCCACAGGTAAGTACGGCGCGTAAGTGCCACACTCGCGTCTATATAACTCGCATAACTCGGTCACGTTTGCGGTTTGCATCGTTAGAATACGATACGACCCACTAAAAATAGCGCCGGAGCCAATATCGATATACTCGATGTAAACGGTGTCAATCCCGTGGATCGGACGGACGAGCATTCGCGCGCGACGCCTTGTTTCCGCGTGCGCACGCAAACGTTTTTCTGCTTCTAACCAACCTTCTTTCAATCGAAACTGTTGAATAAATTGATTTTTTGTTCGGTGCTTGCGGTCGATCACTGGAATGTCCAAGTGTATCGATTTCTTTCGTCTGTTGATTGCTGGATCAACGTTTCCGAGGATTTCCATTGAATTCATGGACAAGAACTGGTCCCAAAGTTTTTCAGAAGTATTGGTGGACAGTAAGCAATTTTGGAGTAGATTCAGAGGATCTTCGACGATCTTGAATTGTCTGCTTGAGAGTCGAAAGTTGGTTCGTTT